GTTAAGAGAAAAGGTGAAGAAAATCTTAAGAACAGAGTAAAGGCGAAACGGGTCACTTTCACGTAGAAACGGCAAAGCGCAACCGGCGGGAAAAACAAAGTTACGTGGTCACTCTTGCCGTGCGCTTTTCACGTTAAGGCGATACTAAATTTGGACAGCGGCCCTTCGTGAGAGGCTAGTTTTTGTTTGGTTTCATCACTTTTGAAAACTAATATGAACTTTTATTTTATTTCACAACCCTTTTATCTGATCTCGAAATCTCCCTAGCCTTTGCAATGAGTTGAAAGGGCTCAAATATCTCTCAAACTGCTCTGGAAGTGTGGTATTTTTTTTGCACAGCTGTCCATTTTGGTCGAAAGGTAGAAAAAGTTACGTGAAGTCATCATCGTGAGCGACCAAAGTCATTGCCCGAGCGCTGTCGTGTAAACAAATTGCAGTATAGAAGCTGACCAATCCATCCCCAAAACTAAGGTGAAAGAAATAGGGACTCAAGCGCAACATCTTCCTGTCATGAAAAATGCCTTGCGGCAATCTGAGCAAAGCGGTGGAAATAGTTAGGAGTTGCATGGTTAGAATTGGTTAGTGTTTCTCTCGAGTTTTCAATACGTGGAATTTAAGATTGCTCTCCCACATTACATGAATACAGTGCAATTTCCATTTCCTTTGTAACAGTTAATTTTCCCTTTTCTTCTAGGATGCAGCTGAAGTATGCAAAGAGTACATGAAAAGAGATCCTACGCAACTCAATTTTACAATTGTTGCGTTGTCCTGTACTGCTGAGACTCGGTGAATTGAAAACACTCTAATTATGTTTTGAAAGAGAAGAAAATTAAATTATGAAGACATCATTTGCTAGGTTGTTTTTATCTCAAAGAGCAAGTCACTGTGCAAAAGCTACAATTTTTTTGGTTTGTGTAAATGAAGCTATTAGAGTTAATTCAAACTGAGAAGATAAAATTGTGTTGTAAAGAACGTCTTCGTGTTGAATGTAATGAGTTGTCTGTTTAAGTGAATATTATGGAATGGTTATTTTGGGGGTAACTCGGTCATTATCATGGTACCAGTCAATCAAATGCAATCAACCTATCCACTGAAACTTTTTGTAAAAATGGAATACCAAGTTTTTGTCCTTTCTTGGTTTTGCCACAATTACTCTTTTCGTTAATTTACTTTCCTCAGTGAATTATGAAGTTTTTGCCACTTGTGGGTGTTTTCGCACATTCGAAAACCTAGGCTTTCATAGGAAAAGAGGCAATTCTGCGAAAAAGAAACACCCCTCCGCCTTCTCTGGAGAAAACTCGCACTCACTATCTGCCAGCTTTATTTGCAACTGAAGGCATTGGAAGATAAATATCTCGACTTACGGAAATTACCGATTTCTTGGAGATCAGAAAGAAAAAGCAACAACAAGATGTTTCACTAAGAAAATATTGCATGACTTTTAACCGCATCCCGAATTCCGATCCCCAGCTAGTACAGATGTGATACCACTCGATGCGCTGTTGTTGTAAATTTTGCGGATCTGATTAACCTGTGATCTGCTTGGTTTTTTAGACCTAATTTGTCAACCTGAATCCTCTTCACTAAACCCAGTTTGATCTAGAAATACAACTAAGTAACCAAAATGGTCTATCGGGACAAAAGGAAATCAGTAGTACAAGAGATTCGTGAGAACCAGAGGCATTTTTTTTTTTTAATGCACACACATACATATACAATTTACATTACATTGGCTAATACAAAAAACCTGATACAGCTAAGAAGAAAAAAAGCAATAAAGTACAATACAGAATAGAGGAATAAAAGAAAAGAAAAACAAGTAAAAAAGAATAAAGGACAGAAGAAAAAAAAATAAAAAATTACAAAATATCAATCAGAAGGCACCTACGAGTTACTTACAATCTACATTACTACAGTAGAGCTTACGTATAGCTATAGATATATCGCTTCGANTAACTTGTTGTCTCTCGTTGATTGATATACAAAAGAAAATTTGTTTTTCCATTCTTTATGAGTATCGGCAAAATTGACTTTCCAGGTTTTGATGCCAGTTGGTTCTACTGTGGGGCTGTGAAACACCCCTCCGCCTTCTCTGGAGAAAACTCGCACTCACTATCTGCCAGCTTTATTTGCAACTGAAGGCATTGGAAGATAAATATCTCGACTTACGGAAATTACCGATTTCTTGGAGATGAGAAAGAAAAAGCAACAACAAGATGTTTCACTAAGAAAATATTGCATGACTTTTAACCGCATCCCGAATTCCGATCCCAAGCTAGTACAGATGTGATACCACTCGATGCGCTGTTGTTGTGAATTTTGCGGATCTGATTAACCTGTGATCTGCTTGGTTTTTTAGACCTAATTTGTCAACCTGAATCCTCTTCACTAAACCCAGTTTGATCTAGAAATACAACTAAGTAACCAAAATGGCCTATCGAGACAAAAGGAAATCAGTAGTACAAGAGATTCGTGAGAACCAGAGGCATATAACTTAGAGGCGTCCAAATTCTCCCTTGCGACGAATCACAAGGACACATTTTTGCAATTAGAGGTTCGAGCAATAGTTTCCTGCATAAAAGCTGTTGGTTGGTGGGGAGTAAAGAAGTGGAGACCCACACGACCCAAAGCTTGCTCCCCTTTTCTTAAGCGGGAACCGCTGGACAAGTTATGATGATTGATTTATCTGAGGAGAGACTGGGAAAGGTTGAAACCAGCTCTAGCTGCACTTAAATTTGGTGGTCGGTAAGGAAATCTCGCTTTATCATGTCGCATGAAAAGGATATTGAAAATGAATAACTCCTTATCAGGATACGAATTCTGTTTGGTTAGCCTCTGTGCTTGAAAGAAAAAAAAAGGGCCTGGCTCCTGGTAGGTTACATGGTATTGTTAGGACCGAATGTGAATATTGTTAGAGAACCTCGTTCACCCTTTGATTCCTAATAGTGACTTGCATCTAATTTCTCCTTACAATATCAGCCCTGAATCACACATTAAGGTCACGAGAATAAAGGAAATGATCACCGACAAACAAGCTCTTGATTGTTAAACACCTTAGGAAAAGTCTAGAGGATGGTATGGAGATTGGGTGTAAAGGGTCGTGGCCTCTGATTGGTCAATTCCTCTGTGCATGCGCGATAGCGCTTGTAAGTGTGCCGAAAAGGTACGATTAAATCAAATAGTCACAGAAAGATTCATTGCTGCTGTCTTGTTTATTATCCAAAAATTCTAGTTTTACAACAATCGTTGTCTACCTGAGTTTCATTTGTCTTGTATTAAGTAACGAAATTAGAAAAAAGTACTCAAAAAGTGGAAATCCTACTCAGATCCCGCTCTATTTCGGCTTAAAACTGACCGATAATATCTACTCCTACTTCGAAATGGAAGATGTTTTCGGACAAGCCCCTTTTCATTCTACTGAATAATAATGCTATCACAATGTTTGGCCTTCAACTCCACAAGGATCTAACGAATAATCAGGCTCTATACTGTTCCTTCAAATTAGCCATGAGTTTCATGAGCCATTCAGCCCCCGCCACAGTTGAATTTGCCACTGCGATGGACATGGCGTGAGCAAATCCTTGGTAATCAGCTGCGACAAAGTGATTGCTTCGATGAGGTCCGTCAGAAGAGCGATCTCCACAGTCAAACTTCCAGTTGGCGATTTTGTCGTTGTGTGGACTGGAATAGTGGCTACACGCGAGTCTTCCTTCCTCGCTAATACGCATAGTTGTTCTGTCCGTAGCGCAAACCCAGTTCAAAATAATGTCATTTCTCCTAGGGAATGAAAGCTTCTTCATTTACGTATCACAGTCAAGTTTTGAAAATCACAACCACATTGTTTGGCTACAGAACTCAGTCAAACGGACATAACACAAAACACGATCAACTTATCATTCGAGTTCTGAACTTATGCATAACAGGAGGTCAGATTTGACAAAAATGTATTTTTAGTTTGGTTCAACTACGTCTGATAATAGGTATGTTACTTACGAGTTTTTGCATCCAAGCACAGGACATGGCATCCTTAGATTAAACCACTGTGGCATTTTGAAGTTGGTCGTTCGCTTTTGTTGTTTTACAGTTGTCTGCTCAACTTTCCTCTGGCGTCCAGCGCTTACTGGTGCAGTACACTTTCGGAAGCTCTTCTAAGAAGTTGTTTTCAGCCAATCCCTGAATGAGTTGCTCACGTGAACTGGAAGACCTCAGGAGGGGTTTTCCCCGAAATCACAAGATAGGACTTTTTCCGAATCAGGTGGACAAATATTTATTGTTTAATAAATTTCTTGGAATATACTATAGTATATAGGGAGAGAATGAAAACGGTGTCGAAGATGAATCGAACAATACGCACATGATTTTATCTAGCTACCCTAAACTCTACAAGTTCATTCTGGGGTAGGTTTTAGCAGAAGTACTGCTCTCGAATCTTTGAGAGAATATTTGCATCTGGAGATAACCTTTAATAATTCAGAGATCTGTTTTTCTTTTGCTCTTGTTGTTTCGTCGGTTGAACCGGAAGAGGGACATTTTGAGGAATTGGTAGCAAGGGACAAACACCTCAGGACGGGTTTTCCTCAAAATCACAAGACGGGACTTTTTTTCATATCAGGTGGACAAATGTTTCATTTTTGGTTAAAGTGCACCTAAACCCAAAAATTTTTTTTCGCTTAACGAAATAAGCTTATTTTTTGGAGTATTTCTGTGCAAAAATTTTTTAATTTGGCCGCCATCTTGCCCCACGACCGAGTTTAAAGAGGAATGGCTCTAGCGGATAATGTGACGTCAAATCGAGAACACGAAAGTCTGCTTTTCACACATTTTCACTTGTTTGGGAAGGTTGTGGTCGATATTGTCCGAAATATGCCGACCAGGTGTATTGTATGAGGAATGTATGAAGCGTGATACCCTCTTGCAAATTTCGCACGTTGCTACATCCTCCTATAACACACTTAGTCGGCATATTTTCGGACAAAATCGACTACAACCTTCCTAAACAAGCGAAAATGTGTGAAATGCAGACTTTCGTGTTCTCGATTTGACGTCACATTACCCGCTAGAGCCATTCCTCTTTAAACTCGGCTGTGGGGCAAGATGGCGGCCGATTTTCCGTATTTTGACTGGGCACAGACAATTGAAGATTTGAGCAAATAAAAAAATGTTTGCACAGAAATACTCCAGAAAATACGCTTATTTCGTTAAGCGAAAAAAAATTTTTGGATTTAGGTGCACTTTAAGAAATTTCGAGGAATTATTAGCAAGGGACAAACACATTAGGAGGAGTTTTCCTCAAAATCACAAGACGGGACTTTTTTCACATCAGGTGGACCAATGTTTATTGGTTAAGAAATTTTTTTTGGAATATATTATGGTATATTTAATGAGATCAAGAAAGGTGTTGAAGATGAATCGCACACGAAGCAGATGACTTCATCTAGCTACTCTAAACTCTACAAGTTCATTCCAGGGTAGATTTCAGCGGAAGCGCTGCTCTCGAATCGCTAAGAGCTTTTGCATTTATGGATAACTTTAATAATTGCGGAATCTATTTTTCTTTGCTTTTGTTGTTTCATTGGTTGAACCGGAATTTAGAAGGACATTTCGAGGAACTACTCCGCCAAGGCCGGGGAAAATATCTCAGGGGGTTTTACCTACAGTGGTCTCTTGAGATGCAAAGCGCGGATCGACTTTTCCCATTTACCTTGCCAAATAAATTGATATATCTATAAAGAAAAACATTTGATCAGAAATTTCTTTGTATCTATGGCCAGAAAGTGGTGAAAATGGATCAAAAGTCCCAGAATTTTGCTGTCTTGTCCTTGAATAAACGTATAAGTCCATTAATTCGAGGTTGAGTTTTACCAAATTATTCTAATGTCCAATTCGAATTTCCTAGAACTGCTTAACAGAAGATAATGTTACTGATATTTTTAGAAGTAGGCGGATGACAGACATTTCTGGGAAATTTCCCCTTTCAAGACATCAGGTAAACCCTGAACACAGCAGATTTCCTACCTGCCCTGCAAATTTAAGTCCAGGCTATTCGAGCTCCTAAAATACTTAGAACTGCTTTAAGTATATTGCCTTAAACTGCCGAGGATTTTATGCAGACTGCAGAGCGAGTCAGGCTTCAACTTTTCTTGGCGATGCTGTCTATCAGCCTCATTAGTTTTGTCTTTTAGTATTGAACAGTTGATTTCTATTTACGTTCGATTCCGGGAAATGTTTTCATGCATATTAAGTGACAGGAAGTGACTAAATGTCAATCAAGAGGAGGAGAGGGAAATTCCTCTTCGGTTCAGTTGCTTCAATAAATACCTGAATCGTAGGTACAAGTTGTGCAGAAGCATCCACTGACTACCTCGACGTACACTCAATAGCTTCAGGACGTTATGGCGTATAGTAAGTATCCAGCTATTTGTTAATGTTAATCAAGAATAAGCGCTTAGAAAAAAAGAAATATATTTATATAGTTTCCATTTATCGCATCAGTTTTAAAACTCAGTAATGTTCCAGTTTATGACAATGTAGGAAAATTTAGGACTAGGGAAATGGAACATCATTGGGGCACTCAAATCGTAAGTTCTTACGTTGTAATAAGTCGAAGAGAACGTGTTTTTTGAAGAATGACATTTACTAGCCTACATAGCAACTGCGAAAGATTTGTCGTTTTCCTTGGTCTCGATAGGTTAGTGTATGGTAAAAGTGTTGCTGGACGGTGAGCAGGCTGATGCAGAATTTGTAACAATTGTGGTTTCGTTCGTTCATGCACCTTCGTTTCGTAAATGCATTGTTCAAACATAGCTATGGTTCAAAATTCAACCATTCTTCGAATTTGCTCGATCGCGAATCAGATAGTTGTGACATCATCTGTATTGACATTTAAGTTAAAAACAAAAGTTTTTTTGATTCCTCTTCAACGTGAGAACACTTGATTTTTCCAAATTAAATCACATGCAGATTTAAGACCATTTTAGGATTTCAAAACAACAAGTTGAATCGATGATCCTCGGCATATTTTTGCTCGGACTCCGTGCTTTTCCCTTAGTTTCTGTAGTTCGCATTTTGTACGTGGATCTTTGACGAGTTCTGGAATTTGTATTGTTCTTGGTCTGCTGGCGCTTCTTCGACTCATTAATTTTTGGATGTGTGTTTAAACTCAGTTTCATCTTCATTTGTCCCCATATATTTCTCAAGGATATGTTGATGCAACGTAAAAAATCCGTTAGAATTTTATTCCTGCTACTGATTCCCAGGGTATCTCCGGAAATCTTATTTCTGCCGGAGATTCTGACACATGGAAACAATTAACCAGCTAGTCTCCCTTCATATAAAGCACTTAAATATATAACGTTTAATAAACCTCCTTTAATACAATTAGCGGCGGCGACACTATAACAACACAACAACATGGCCCACCCGATTTTGCCGCTCTTCTTCTCCCAAGCCCTGGGGCGAGACTAGCCTCGTTTCCTAGCAACGTTACAAATATGAACCATTATTTTTTGACCACTTAGATAGCAGAAACCGAGGGAACGTGCCCTTGCACAACCACAAACCTGGAAATGGTGATCCCGAAGGATATCACCAAGGAGGGCATCCTGAGGGACATAACAGCGGAGGCAATCTTGCGGGATATCGCGACGGAGGTCATCGTGCGGGATACCAACACGGGGGTAGTCCCGCAGGACATCAGTACGGAGCTAGTACCACGGGACATCAACACGGAGGTCATCCGAAGGGACATAAGCAGGGCGTTAACACCACAGGAAGTCGACACGGAAGTCATCCACAGGATCACCACCAAGGGGGTCGTGGATACAGAGGTCATTCTGGGGGATATCACCACGGAGGTCATTCTGGGAAGCCTCAACCTGGAGGGTATTCTGCAGGACATCATAGCGGAAGTCATCCGAGTGGAAATTACCATGGAGGTTACCCTGCAGTACAATATCATGAAGGAAATGGCGATTGGGAAATGCATGATCATGAAATGCAGACTCAGGCCCAGGAGCAGATTCAGAAGCAACGCTCGTTACAAGGTAAGTTACTGATACTCGATCAATTTGATTTCCCGGAGTTGGCTTGCACAAAAGAACACCTTTTTCATACTGCCCTTAATTTCCACGTATTTCTTACACGTCAAAATTCAAATTTTCAGGATTTTTGTGAAGCTTTTGAATGATAAAGCTCAAAGCTGCATTATGAAAAATGGAAAACGTTACTTATAATTACTGTCTTTTATTTCTCAAAGGTATGGGTGAAATGTGCTTGTGACAAGAAATTAATTGATGAATAAAGGATACGTTGCAGTTGCAGAAAAGGCACTGAAGCCAGTCAGTCAAAAATGACAATAGTTCTGCTCAATCAAAAACAAGAAAAAGGAATACGAAATCCAACCTGATATGAGTTGCAACACGGGATGAAGCAAAATGTTTTAGGGATTAGAACGAGTTAGCTCTAAGAGACCTCAGCCATGGAAAGTATTTTTTGACTTATAAGGCCTCCTTAGCTAGTCTGTCACGTGATACACCAATACAAGAGTCTCTCACTCCTAAAGTGCCTCTGAAGGGGTTACTCCAGTGTTAATTTTTTTGTCATTTTTGACTGACTGGCTTCAGTGCCTTTTGTTTTTAGTTTTTCGCAGTGATTACATTCAATTTATTCATTGCAGTTTGCTATCTTGACTTCATTTATGCTGTTTTTCTTAACTAATCGAGTGTTTTCATTCCTCATTAAAATTATCTTTGTACCTGTTGCAGGTAACGTGCCCGTGTTCCTATATTTTTACTGTGCTTATCTATCAGTTGACATCTATATTCCATTTATAACAACGTATACTTAGACTTGTAATTGAAAAAAAAAAATAGGCCATAAAAGCGGGCAATCTTCATCCACACGCAGTTTTCGCAAAATAATGAGCTTTTGGTTGAAATTCTTTTCAAGCTTTTTATAAAATGAAGATATTCTTGTCGAACTTTGTGTTTTCTCTACTTTTCTTCGAAACTTGCTTTATTTTCAGGTCACGGCCATAATAGAAGCTGAGCTCACTTGCCTTGATGCTCAAATGACTTTTGCTCCACCCGAGGTAACAAGAGCAGCCAGAATGAAGTTGCTGGAAAAAACACTGAAATGGGCAGCAGCCAGAGAAGAAGCAAAAATCAAACCAAGTTCCGTCGATGCCTACACAAAGAATGTGGTACAAGTCCTGATAAAACCAGATTCGGTGAAGTTTCCAGAAAGGGAACGAGATCCAAGATCTGCCAGGTGAGCATTAACTTTAGAATGTGAGACAACATAATGAGCAGGCGAGACAAAATCGGTGGCAGAGGCGGATCCAGGAATTTTTGATTGGGGGGTCCAAACTTTGGTTCAGAAATGACTGTTGGACTCTTTTGAGGCAAATTACTTCTCCCCCACACCCCCCCACACCCCCTCCCACCAGTCGCGGTTGCACGTTATAATTCCTTGGCCTCTTACCGTTTACTTGGAATCATTAAAAAAGTCAGCCAGTTAGAAAGTGATGTATGATCCTGTCTCAAAGTTGTAAGCGTCAGGTCTGATGGGGGGATCCAGACCCCCCCGGACCCTCCCCCTGGATCCGTCACAGGGTGGGATCCATGAGGAGATTGGCTTCCCTTTTATGTCGTATTCCCCGTTCGCTCCACTGTTTTCCCGTTCCCCTTGTGAGCCTGTGAAAGCCGGTTAGAGTTGGATTATGCCTGATCCCCTTTGCTTAATTCCGCGAAGGTTAATTTATTCAGAAAAAAAACGGTCACTTAAATTTTCTTTTAATCATTTATCACGTATAGTTTGGACGAACCTACAGTGAACGAACTCATGTTCGGTTTTGCCCAAGCCCAATACAAAGGAGACCTACAGGATAAAGAGTTTGAAGCCCATCCTAATAAGAAAGCCGCTATGCGCAAAATTAGAGAGGGGGAGGACCTCCACAGTGGTAAGTTATAAAATTTTATCCTCCAGCCTCCATTTGGCGCGAAAACAAATAAACAATGGCCTCTATTTGGCGCGAAAATGTGCTCAGATATTTGTATGCGGACATTATCTATTCCGAAAAGCGAACAATTTTCCGAGAGCGAAGCTCGAAGAAACTGTAATAGCCGAAATAGCCAACCTGGAAGGGGGGGAGGGGGGAGGAATAGAAAATGCTCGTTGTCACTTAACGGTCTGAAAATCGGACATGCAATGAAATTTATCCTTTTTCCGCCATGAAATTTATCTAATTTTTTATTTTCTTTTGATCTGCTTTAGGAGCAGCACGCCTGTTGAATTTAAATCTTGAAGACGGCGAATTCTACCATGTTCTTCATGCATCTCTCGAACATCTTGATTTTTGTGCCAAGGAAGATTTGTGTTAAATTTCTTTTTTTGTGTTTGTCTCTATAACGCAACAAAAGCTCCTTGAGAACTGGAGGTTGTGGGGAGTTACTTTCTTTGAACATTTTTTTTTCTGTCAAGATTTTGGTATTAGCTTTTAAATGATGGATATGGGACTCTTAATTTTCTTTCCCTGAATAGGTAGCATACTAAGTTCTCTAGCGCCAATCGGTGTAATTGTTTATCTCCTCTTTGGGCCATACACGGGTCATTGGTAGACTTGTTAGTTGACTTCAGCTGTGATGTATGATTCTTTTTTCCATTCTTTTCTTTTTTTTCGTATATGCCGAATAAACTGATAACTCAGATACAATGAAATATATGAAGTTCATATATTTTGAACTGCGGTATTAGATACGTATGATGCACGATCCTCGCAGTAGATAGCGCTATTTAAGCAATAGCGAAAATCAGACCTGAAAAAAATCTGGCCTATACGGGATTCGAACCACTGACCTCTGCGATACTAGTGCAGCGCTCTACCAATTGAGCTAACAAGCCAACTGGGAGCAGGCCGTTAAGTTGATTCGTAATAAACCCGTGAAAGTGATAAAT